TGTATAGGTTTCATATATGTATTATCCTAAAACACCAATGAACAACATACACGTCACCTCAGTCACCACGTCACGTAACCATAGCATTACCACTCCTTCAGGATCCCTACAACAATGGTCACCTGCGACTTTGCTTGTCGTAAGAGGCGACTGACGGGATCGGGTGGTCAGGCTCGCTGACTTGGTTGATGCATGTCATCGTATCCCAATTGCGTGGATCGATGCTCATGATGTCAATCACTGGCTTGTCAATCACTCGATTATTTACAGACCGCTGTCATATAGATGGAAAATTGCCGAGTGCGGCGTTAACACACAAATAAACAAACAAACAATGGTCACCTCTAGGTCTGCAGGACCACTGGTGTGTCACTTGAGCTTCATCCTGCCTGTTGCCTACATATATATCACATGACGTTTGCTGATGGTGTTGAACACCCATTGATCGTCGTGTAAATGGGACTAATACTAGACATTGCCTTCACACTCGTCCTGATTGAAATTCTCAAGTCCCATATCATCCTTTCAGATATGTCGAACCACGTTGCCAGTTCGTCCCCTCATGCATTACTGGTATTAATGTCAGACTCCTTGAAACGGTTGCCATTCACAAAGTGAATGAACTAAGCAGAAAGTACACAATTTCTTGAAGATGACGCAAAGGTCAACTGCCGAAAAAGCCGACAAAAGCATGTTCATAAAATGGAATATCTTTAAGTGATATTTCAGAAGGCGTGGTGCCCATGTAGACAATAAAATTTGTTGACCGAAATCAGCTTCTCTATTCTCTACAGATACTGGTACCTTTACAAGCCTATTAGCTGGCAATTACGTTGGAGATAAAATTGTACACACAGCGACTGTTTTTAAGAACATACAATACGTTGAAGCGTATTCCTACATATATACAAGCTAACTAAAATATGCTGTCATTTTGTATGTAATGTTCATTATGATAACAGAACTTCTTCAGAGGAGCTGTTTGCATTTCCTATTAATTGGCTTAACCTGGACACCCGTCTACTGATTAGTTGTGCGCGTCTGACAGTGAAATTGGTTCTTTTGCTATGGATGTGTCGCGTGGCGTTGTGGTGTGGTGTAGGTCGAGTGGTGCCGTTCAGTGGGGCGTTACGGTGTGGTGTAGGTCGCGTGGCGTTACGGTGTGGTGTAGGTCGAGTGCCGTCGTGTCGCGGGGCGTTACGGCGTGACGTTACGGTGTGGTGTAGGTTGTGTGGTGCCATGTCGCGGGGCGTTACGGTGTGGTGTAGGTCGCGTGGCGTTACGGTGGAGTGTAGGTCGCGTGGCGTTGTGGTGTGGGGTAGGTCGAGTGGTGTCGTGTCGCGTGGCGTTACGGTGTGGTGAAAGTCCAGGGGTGCCCCGTGACGTGGCGTTACGGTGTGGTGTAGGTCGTGTGGTGTCGTGTCGCGGAGCGTTACGGTGTGGTGTAGGTCGTGTGGTGCCATGTCGCGGGGCGTTACGGTGTGGTGTAGGTCGCGTGGCGTTACGGTGGAGTGTAGGTCGCGTGGCGTTACGGTGTGGTGTAGGTCGAGTGGTGTCGTGTGGCGTAACGGTGTGGTGTAGGTCGAGTGTAGTGGTGTGGCGTTACTTTGTGGTGTAGGTCGGGTGGTGCCGTGGTGCCCGAGAATGGCGGTGTTCACAGTAGGGTCATCATCTACCCACCAAACCAAGACTAAAAGCAAAGTTATTTTGTTTTGTTTATGTATGCGAAATATAATATATTAGATTCTTCTGTAGACATACTGCACACTGGGGTACAGTCGCCATGTAGACATCCTTACTCGATTGCCTGAGAATGTAACATTACACGAAGCCTCTCATGCATCTGGCAAATATCTTGCCACACAAGACGTTTGGTTTCTTTGGTGAAAACGAAAATCGATGTGATGACATGACCATGTCGCCATGACTCCGATGTGAAATTGCTAAGCGTTACATCCCTTAAAACGTGGCATGACCGCACCCACGGGCCAGAGGTGTTGTGGTTGAAAAGTTTAAGGGGCGGGGTAATTTACCCGGTGTAGTCACTATTGGATAGTGAATCATCAACACGTGCTTGTGATGTATATACGTAGTCGGAATCGCACAACGGAATCTGGTTTCAGCAGAGATTTCTTTAGTTATGGAAAAGGTTTTGTCGTTTTTATTTGTTTGTTTATTTATTAATTATTATCATTGTTATTATTTAGCATTATTAAGTAATTTAACTATTATTATTATTATTATTATTATTAATATTATTATTTACAGATTAAAATATAAAATGCAGCAAAGGGGGTTTGGGTGATCCTGGCACAGTCAGGCTGGTTAGGCTCATCATCAGCTCAGGGCCCTTGCCCCCTATACACGCAGCCCAGACAGCGAATGGGACTTCTCCCAGGAAGCGCTGCCTTGTCAAACCCACCGACAACTTTTCGGAGAATGTCAATACTCCCCAACACAGCAGCCTTCTGCATTACCCAGATTGTTAGAAGGACTGTATTCCTGGCAGCAAACCCGGGTACTCTCCCATTGTCAGTCAATAGATTGGGAGGTTCCAAACCTAAGAACAATGAGGAGTCGGACAACTTGGTACTTGGGATGCAAGCGTGACATTTCGAAAGCGATGTCCGCATACTTGCCATGTTTTTCCCGACTCTTGTCAACCACATTAGTGTCAAAAGGGACAGAAAATTCAATGATATAAATGATTTCATTGGATTTATCAAAAAGGACAAGATCAGGTTTGTTGACCTCGATAGGTCTGAAGATGTATACGGGCCTATTCCAAAGGATTATGTATTTATCATTTTCCATGACGCCCTCTACATATTCTTGGTCGTACCATGGATGGACCTCTGTGTCAAAACCACAAGCATTGCGAAGACGGTAATAAAATTATCGAGCCACTCCATAATGTCGCTTAAGATACTGTGTTTATGCCAAAGCTGGGCATCCGCGGACAATGTGTTGGACAGTCTCATTACATTTAATGCATATTCTACATTTCATGTTTACATTTCGTGTGGGAAGTGACTGGTCATGAGCAGCAAACAGAAAGCCTTCTGTTTCACCTTTCAGACCAGCCGACATCATCAAAGAGAAGGACTCTGCAGGGTTGCTGATCTTCTCAACTCACTGCATATAAAATCTCTGCAGTGGTCGTTCAGATAGCCTCTCCTTGAACAACTGAGTTTGGGCCGATTTGATATGGCACTTCGCTTGGTGGACACTCATTTCTGTACCGTCCAACAGTACAGAACCATCAACAAAATCAACATTTACATTAAGATTATGTCCGACATCCTTTAAAAACTGTTAACTACTTTGAGTCTTGACATGCTTCACAAGAGGATCATCAGACAAATAAATGTGTGCAAAGTTGCAGGAGAAAATTATGTCATGAAGAGACTCCACGTTGATTAAACCACGCCCTAAAATTATAATTGTTAAATATAAGCGATTGAGGGAAGAACGAGGGCGGTGGGATCTATTGTCTGACATGATTCTTCGTGTGAGGGTGTCAGTACCGTGAATTTCTTGTCTCGTCCAATCAAAACCAAAAGACAGGACGGATACGGAATAAGTATTTGTGGCTTTCACTTTATTGCGAGCGTCCAGCTTTACCCCAGATTTCAATTCAGGTGTCGACAATTGTTTTCTGAACAAAGTTAAAATGGACATTCTGGAGTTTATTTGTCTTTAACCTGCATCCCCAAGTACGTACATGCCTGATCTGCAACGAGTTGGCGAATAACTCCTCTCGCGAGTAAATTCATCGATCCTCCCTCTTCTACTACTACTATTATTATGTTTATCATTATTTGTCAGTCTATGTTCTAAGTCTACGCTGTCGTCAAGCAATGTCAGGTACAAGTGTAGGTATCACAAACTTGCCGCGGCTCATGTCACAGACCTGGCGATGACCTGGTAACTGAATGCCCCCATCCCCCTGACAACCCCCCCCCCCCCCCCCCCCCCCCCCCCCTTATCGATCAGATACCTATAATGAGGTACACGTATGTGTTTTTCGACAGCAACTATACAGTACAACTCTTCAGCGACGGCGGTGGTGACCATGGCCCTTTGTGTTAGCCTTTTGTAGAATAAAAGTCGGCTCCTAATAATGGCCATTGCTATGAAATGCTATTGGCATCCGACATTTTCCACATCAGTGTGTAGGAGTAAATTACATATCTGGAAGGTTTCACAGTCTATCGATAGCTTTACCCACCAAAAGTATACTTAAATAAGGTGCTTTGTGCCCTTGAACATGTACGCAAGAAATAAACCACAGCCAAACGCGCGCATTCATGCACTTAGCCATATCAGCAATAATCCTGAACGCGATGTTAAACCCAATGTCACCTCACCTCACCACTGCGATAAGCATCCTGTACGTTGTAAAGAGAAAATCATCAATAGCTCAGAGCCGAGTCTAAGTTTAAGGCATATCGGAAAAGGTTAAGGTTTGGCAAGATTTTACCTGTGTAAATATGTATTTTCTGAAATCAAGGAGGTTAACCGTGTACGTTTGTACATAACATTTGACGGGGTGCTGATGGCGTCGCAGTTGTTAGGATTTCGGCAAATGACTAAAATGTGTATGCGGTCTACGAAGTTTGTAGGGAATGTCTGACTGTTGGTGCAACACTCACAAAGAGCAGCGCGCAAGGTTTATGTGAAAATCCCAGAGATAATAGCAGATTTCAATAATCATCAGAAAAGCAAGAAACTAAACACAGTTTTAAGCACACAAAGTCATTGTTTCAATGTATATTTAAACTCACAATGTTTACTCTACATCAGCGTTAGTGTCATTTATATCTGAATTATTAATCTGATATATATTAAATACAGCAGTCTTGAGCAGGGCAGATTGTATTGATTATGAGGCAGTTCCAATGCCACGGAAACCCTCCGTCCATGCTACACAATACTCTTCGTGTCTTCGGGGAGGACTGTGATCATTTCCTGCATCATCACAGTGTCCTCTCCCTCGACGGTGGATGTAGTTGGCGACTGCAGCGTCTGCGGACCAGGCTTCTCGCTGTCAGGCTGCGTTACTCACGGACGGAACTAATCTTTAGCCACAGTCGGAGCGGGTGCTGCTGGTGTTCTGAGTAGGACGGTGCCGTGGGCGAGGAACTCTGAGTCACAGAACAAGGCTTTAATTGGTCACCTAACAACTGGCTGTTCTGCTGGTATATGTGCCGTTGGTCAGATGGATTATTCGGACACAATGTTGCCGTATTGACGACCGTTCAGTGAGGTTGATCACTCGGACATCATGATTCTGTAGAGAAAGCTGTATGAAGAGAGGTTGATAATTGTCTCGGTGATGTTCACAGGTACAAGGATACATTATGTACAGGTAAACTTATTAATCAAGCGGACATCTATTACGCTGTCACTGGCAGTATTAAACAACAATTTACTACGTTGCTGTAAATGTCGATGGTGACCCATAATACTGAATGTTACATTTATATATAATGAAAAATATAATAACAATACTTTTTGATGGTGCATATACATGAATACGCCGCAGCCGTTTCGTGTGGACTATGTCCCTCCCTTGGACAGAGATACATACAAACTTTTTCTTCCATTTAGTCTCATGTCAGTTCAAATCTTATCCAAGTATTTTATTCACGGATGCTTCTTACGTTTATGTCATTATATCGTTCCGCAGGAATATATGTTACAAATATACCAGGTCTATTTATCATTTACGAGTAAATATTTGAGATGAACGTATTTCTGAATTGCCTTTAATTGCTTATTCGTGTATACATCCGTGAACAACAACATCTCGGTCATATTTCATATTGCTTTATATTAATTTTACAACATATGCAGCTCTAGGAAAAGTAATAATATGGAATGAAACACGTCAAGCCGTCATTTACCGGTTTATGATTAAAAAAACTCAATACAACTGTTCAAAGTTCATGTCAAATAAACAAATATATATAGAAATATGGTTGACCTTGCAAGGCTATTGACATGCTATGAAATCTAAAGTTTTGAATGAAACGCGTTTAGTTGTTATTGATTTGTTTTATAATTAACGGAACTCGCTATATTTGTTCAAACTTGATGCCATATGTGAAAAAATATATATACATATGTATGACCTTACTGTCGCCGTGATATGAAATATGACACAAACTGAGTATTAGAAGTGAAGGCGAAACACGGTAAGTATTTGTAACCTTGATATTGAAAATTGAAGTTTGATAGCCTGAAAGTGCAGGGTGAATATTGGTTTAGTGAGCCAATGAAGATACCCTGATGTTTGTTTCAGTGTGTCGTGTGTTTAACGTACGTTTGGTTGCGACCCGTGAAGATCCGGGGTAGAATAGGTCTTTAACAACCCATGCTTGCAGTAAAAGGCGGCTACGCTTGTCGTGAGAGGCGACAAACATGATCGGGTGGCCAGGCTCGCTGACTTGGTTAATGCATGTCATCGATCCCAATTGCGTGGATCGATGCTCATGTTGTCAGTCACTGGATTGTCTGGTCCAGACTCGATTATTTTCAGACCGCAAAACTTTTGGTTGCAGTGTGATGCAGAATTATCAGGGAAAAAGCAGGCAATAAGTGACCAAATTGTTCGAATGGATCACTGAATGATGACACCAGATGTATGCTAAAAGAGTAAGCTTTTCCTGCTTGGCCGTTAGCACCGGCCAATCGCAACAGTTCCATGAAAATAGTAAGCGCTTGTAAAGAGGTGTGGAAATTCAAAGATCATAGGATATGCGTTTTCCATAATAATGAAATGGATTTGTCACTAATATTTATAGCCCTGCCCAACAAGGCTACAGATGACGTGTCATATTTAGTTTGTTTGTTGTTTTACGCCGCACTCAGCAATATTCCAGCTATATGACGACGGTCTGTAAATAATCAAGTCTGGACCAGACAATCCAGTGATTGACATCATGAGCATCGACCCACGCAATTGGGACCGATGACAGTTAGCCTGAGCATCCGATCCCGTTAGACGCCTCTTTTGACAAGCATAGTCGCCTTTTACGGCAAGCATGGGTTGCTGAAGACCTATTCTACCCCCGATCTTCACGGGTCGTCATATTTAGTACATTCCACTGCATGTCTACCATAAGGTGTGTTAACAAATGACTGAACAAGGTCTTTGATAGTGAAACCCTTATTGAGAAGCTTACTTGTAAGCAAAATGTCTGGACGTGAAGTTTGAATAGAAGGTACTTGCTCGTACGTATTTAAGCAATTAAGAAAGGCAGACACCATTAACTGGAGCTAGTGGTACATTGCCCGTCAAAAAGGAAAACTGACGATTGGAAAAACAAAATCACCACTCTTGTTGGCAAATTTCTAAATGACATACGAACATGTATCGTTTCGATGGGCGAGAAAACTAGCCCAAGTATAGAACTCGTACAAAATATTTTTACATTGTACGAAATGTCAATTCATCTCGAAACAACAGCTCGCCGCTTAATGTCTGTGCGTGCTATATAGACGCTGAAGTGGGAGACAAGATGTTTCATTAACTACCTCCTTTGAAAGAACTATAAGTACATCAGTGTCAATTTATCTAATTAGTAATCATAAGGAGATATATCTGAGACAACAGGTGGTTGTGCATCACAGTTAAATCATATTAATGTTATAAATGTCTGTTATAAATGTCAATAACACGATCCCAGAATATACTATTTAACGTCATTGATCGGGGAGGAATCCCTGTCGGTTACGTATGATATCTTCCAGGGGGGGGGGGGGTCCTGTCTTTCTACTGGTACTCCACTTCTGGTCACTGATGCATCAAATTTGGAAATGTCCTGCATCAAATTTACCATAAAACCCTTTTGGAAGCTTTACTGAGGCCTTGAATGTTGAATCAAACGTCTGACCAAGAGTTGTACGGTGCGCTTTGAAATCTTCGTAGAAAGAGCATGCTCGATTAGACTTCCAGTGTAGTGAAATGTAGACACAAAACAGTTGGAGCTGCTGGAGTATTGCTCGATATAAAGGGTAAGTTGAACTATTGGCAAGTTGAAGTCAGCCTCTTGTCATAAAGGCTTGTGGAAAGTCACTCTTTATCTCTGTGCATAGATCTAAATAGGAAACAGATTAGGTGGTCTCACTGGTCGCCTGTATTTCTATCTCAGGTGGGTAAATCAGTGGAAGGGGATTGACTATGTGATGGTTATTGAACGATATCAGATCATCGATATACCTGAAGCTAAAGTTATATGCCAATCCGAGAAGACATTCTGATTCACATGAATAAGGAAACAGATCAGCAAGAAGAGGCGCAGTTGGTTAACACGGGGAAGCCTTCTTCTTGCCTAAACGTCTTACCCCCAAATTGTAGATAAATGTTATCAATTCGGAAGTCCAGCATTTCGCATATTGTTTCCTCAGTAAACTTCTGATAGCATTTGCTTTTATTTTTCACTAATTGCCCTGAAGCTCTGAAGATAGATATGCAACAAAAGCCCCATGGATCAAGAAGTAACGTTTTTCCGTCATTAATTTGTCATGCGGGATAGTGGTTTACAAAATTCACAAATCAAATGTTGTAACAGAATTGAACTTGGTTTTTATTCTGAGACTGACGTACGACGTCAGAGTGGTGTTTCACTATGAGCCTTTGTTCTTTGTTAAGTCTAAATTCATATTTAAGAATATATTCGTGTGATAATGGAAGAAGTATCGCATCCAGTAGCATCACATTCACATGCATTCATAGAATTGATGTTCAGTGCCCGCGCACGTTCCTTGTACCATAAGTGTAACGCTTGCAGGGACCCAAACATGTTCCTAGCCTCAACGTGTTGACAATATATCGAGTCATGATTGGTAAGGCAGTTTTGCAAGTAGTGGGCCAGTATAGTCGCCCTGTGATGGTGCAGAACGCCAAGAGCCAAGATATACAGTAAACTTCGTTTGTAACGAACCCGCTTATAACGAATTGACATACATAAAGAACTGGTCTTTTGGCCCCGGCCATTTGCTGTTTATGTACTGTGTATATGCCTATAACGAACTATTATTATAACGAACTAATATTAGTGTTGTAGCCGTAGTTTACTGTATAATACAATAGGACAGGATTAACACCAAGAAAGTTAGAACATGTCAGTTGTTAAAGTACCGCTCTACCACATCAACTCTTGCCTGCTGCTACAACTATCAAAACAAACAGAAAACCAGCCCCAGCCGCGAATCCAGTATTTAATGTGAAAATACCTTTGGATTCGATGACTAGGAGATTGATCACTAACAAAACAGCGTGACTTCATGACTTAACAAATGCTGTCATAAAAAAATACCATTTTCTTCCTTACATATGCATGATTTCATTGTCCTAGTTTGAAAAATATTTATTACTTAATTATATCATAATATTTACTACATATTTAGGCCCCAAAACGCGTAGAGGTGTTGGATGCTGTAAATTGTTTAGTGAGACCCTAGCCCCTGTCATGCGTTCACATCCTTAACATCCGTGTTTATTAAGGCTGCGAAAAGGCTTATGGTAGACATGTGGAAGACATTTACAAATCTGACGCATCAGTGACACAAATGATGTCCGATGCAGTTCCCTATTTTGACCTGTATCTCATGTTCCCGTGTGTTTTTTTCACGTTAATTGGCCCACCTTTGCAAGTGTTTGTGACGGGTGCCACTGGTAGGACCGAATGCCCCTGTTCGTGAACAGCTGGCATCATCACCATTTGATGTGATCCATAAACACATTCTTATGATACACTCGGAGTCGTACAATGGATTCTGACTTTCGTAGATGTCACATGATTATGGAAATAGTCACGTCGCTTTTATTTACATGAATACGCCCATAAAGTCACTGTGCCCCAGATTCTCATTTTCAAAATACGCCTGCGAAAGACAGGTACTACATGATGTCCATTTGGAAACAAAATTATTACGTCCTGTTTTGAGCAGGTCTCGAAACGTAACATGCAACTTCCGCATTCTACGGAAGTAATCCTCCTGGTTGACAGTTCCCCGGACAGTGTGCAACGTGCCGGGAGACAAATGTCTTTCCAATGACAGATATAATGATAAGCGGCGCTCAAGTATCTCCCTTACGAATCACTCTGATGACAATAATGACACCAGTTTTGGCGAAGCGGCATCCATCGTGTGGAAACTTCAGAAGGTCTTAAAAATATAGGAAAACAAGAAAACATAACGATGGACGTATTTGTATTTTACCCAAACAGTTGGGTTTCTGTACAGGGCATGGGTTTAACAAATGTCTGAAGGATCTAGTTATGTTGTTATTATCATCTTGGATAAGCGACGCAGTCATATCCGTAGGTGTGATTTATTTTAAAATAGAACCTATTACTGTAAATACTTTGTGAAAACGTATCAATTCGTATTATGTATTACTTACCTGATAAACACTTGATACTGATAAAGTAAGTTGTATATATACGTTTTTCGATTTCTATGAATCATCCTGTCAGACAGACAGAGCTTGTTAGCAGTAAAAGATGTGAATGACAAACATTGTAATGATCGTATCTTGAACTACGAAATGAACAGCTAGGCTATTCAAGTAGTATGATATTAGCTAGATTGTATAAAAGTAATTAATACATTTGCGAAATCTTAGAAATATGTAATGTGTTCAGCGTAATGTGAGATCGCCTTCTTTGTGTAGTGGTTAGAGCACCTGCATGGAGAACGGAGGGTCGATGGTTCTCGTTAAATGATGGTACTTGTTGTTACCCTGCCTGGCATTAACTAGGACTGGGTCCCGTTCAACAAAGCCATCTTAGAGCTAAGGTGATCGTAACTCCCAATCTTTAATACTGGCTTACGATAGTCGTAGATCTAAGATCGCTTTGTGGAACGGTGCCTTGGTCAGTATGCTGTGTCTGAGTGGGATATCCATGTTAAACTGTGGCAGGATATCTCATTGGACCTGCAGTTGAACCGGTGTTAGAACTGACCAGTACAAGCAGTCGCAGTCACAATTTATCTGAGTACCTATCACATAGCTTACAAGTGAGTGAGTTTGGTTTTACGCCGATTTTAGCAATATTCCAGCAATATCACGGCGGGGGACATCAGAAATGGGCTTCACACTTTGTACCCATGTTGGGAATCGAACCCGGGTCTTCGGCGTGACAAGCGAACGCTTTAACCACTAGGCTACCCGATCGCCCCCACAGCTTACAAAGAAACTCTACCCGACGTCGCGTTCATCGTTAAAGGTCAGTTTTCCCACAAGTGGTATGGCGCTGATAACATCAACGGGAATGTTTTTCATGAAACGATAACGGTAACATTCCTTTCTTAGGATTCTCCAAAGCGGGTCTAACTGTATATAATGCCAAAACATGAAATATGAGATTTTATCCGGTTTTACCGACAAAATCCGGTACAAATATCTCTTAAGGTATAAAATATGTAGCGTCATGTTTATTTTTCTCACACTCACGCTCTTTTGCAGCGAAATATGAAAAGATCAATTTTGCACAGGATACAATATTCATAAAGCTTGAATATTATTTTAATACTCCAGGATCGAAGGTCCAAATGAATGAATGATATGGCGCTTTTTCAGTCGCCCGTCCGTCGTCTGTCCGTACGTGAACGTTCGACTCCCTACCGAACCGGTTTAAGCGATAATCGTGAAGCGTTAGGAGGATGCCTTGCACCATTATATGATTTAGATTCCTTCAATGCGTTATTGAAAAGAAAGGAAAATCTTTAAGAATATCACAATGATCGCCCAGACATGTTTCGTAGATCATAATGATCAATATAAGTTTCTGTTACGCACTAGCGTATGGACTGCTGGTGTCTTACTTTGAAGAAGTGAAAACATCTAATACGGATAATGAATCGTTCTTACCCTGACGGTGTTCGTTAACTTTCAAAAGAATATTAGGTTGGAATTGTCCTATAACACGACATTGTACAGAGCCTTTAACTTGACATTTAACTACACGGCAATAGACTTGTGACAACCAGGACCTGGGTGCTTTAGTTTGACTGACATTCTCCTTCTGGTGAAGCCTGATCGAAAACGCGTTCAATCAAGTAATCAGTTTGTACATTAGACATTATTGGTTGGTTGGTTGATTTGTTGTTTAACGCCACACTCAGCAATATTCCAGCTATATGACGGCGGTAGACATTATTGAAGGTGATTAGGACCATACTTTGAAATCGATGGATAGGTTGTAAGATCCTTGGATATGAGTCTATTGGAGATTGTGGATCCATGCTGTTACGCGTCATTAACAATTGAATGGGCATGCGTGTTTCTATATGCTATAATGTCCAGTTATTTAAACACTGATACTGATTCTGTTAATTCAAGCAAATGCTGCAGAAATGAAATGTAACTTTCAATGAACGTTTTGATGAAACCTTCATTGATTTTGTTTCATCAATAACGCGCTTTCTAAATTATTAAGACTTTCTTCTATATTGGGGTCAACGTCAGGTCAGAGGAATTGCAGCCTCTTCACAGACGCCAGAGGTCACTTTACTCCAGTGTAGGTACTGCCGAATGACATCCGATGTGGAGAAGGTCAAACTAAATTAGTTTCCATACGGCTAGTTTTATGACTTGTTTACTAAGATTTCACAAATAAAACGAACACTTACGGAACGATCTTTTTCTCCCGGAGTAGATCCACTTGGGAAGGTAACTATATAACCTGACAGTCAAAAACACCGCCAAGCAGCACATCTCTGTTATTTCATTTTCATTAGAACTTTATTATAAGATACGATTTTGCAAGATTGTTTTATTCTTATTTTATTAAATAAACTACGTGAACAACATAATAACAGAAAGAGGCTCACAAACGCTAACAACCTATTATCTCACTATCCTTGTGTGTTAATACTGAAGTCATCAGCTGTTAGGGCTCCGGGGTATTATCTTTGGAATTCGAAAACTAACATTTCTCGTAAATACTTGTATTTAATAATCGTGCCAATTATTTCAGGCCCGTGTAGCGCCTTGCGATCAAGGATTCATATATCACATCATCTGATCCTGTCAATACATCGCGAGCCAAATATAATTTAATTGCTTTCTCCTCTCGGGGAATCCGGATGTAAATTGAGTGAAATTGAGACTGAGGAAGATAATTCTGGTAGGTGGTGGTTTTTAATGGCTGTATTAACTTGCAAAAGGTTGTTTGATATGCTCCTTGGGAGTTTCGAGGACACTAAAAGACAGTTTTATCGCATATGTATTATGTATTCAATGTAAAAAAAGGATTAATCTACAAGTTCCGTCCCAAAAGATTGAAAATATGTGGTTGATATTCTGAATCAAATTAACTAAGTGGATTTTGGGTTGAATATTTTAATTTTTTAATTTTAATAAACGACATCATTCATCTTAAAGTTTTATTTGCGTTTTTACGACGAAGACTACAAATTACATAAATCCTGGACTTGTTTCTACAGTGTTATCCCTGGGGGATTCCGTGTTTGAGTAGGTCCCCATTTCCTAATACCTGTAGTCGGAGTCGACTAAGATGGGATTGGGTTCTGTGACGTGGCGCCCTGTGTCTTCGGAACCCGATCGCACCTACCGCTGTTGATGATTTCAGTCACTGGTTTGTCTGGTCGAGAATTATTTACAATTCTCGGTGGTACATGCATGAAACTGTTCAGACTACGGGGTCAATCAACATTCACTAAACCAAGCCCCCTTACGAACCTTTTCAGCGCAATTGATTCAGTGTCTTTGCAATGCCAGATTGTCCTTATGATGGTATTCCCAGTCAAGGCAGAAATAGTTGGTTGGTTTGTTGTTTAACGCCGCACTCAGCAATATTCCAGCTATATGAAGGCGGTCTGTAAATAATCGAGTCTGGACCAGACAATCTAGTGATTGAGCATCGATGGGATCGATGACTGCATCAACCAAGTCAGTGAGCCTGACCACCCGATCCCGTTAGTCGCCTTTTACGAAAATCATATTCACCTTTTACGGCAAGCATGGGTTGCTGAAGACCTATTGTACCCCGGAATCTTCACGGGTCCAAGGCAGAAATGTTTTTTTTATTTATGTACATGAACACGTATGTCTACGTGCGTTTCTATATATATTTCTTTGTTCTGATTAGTATATATGATTTATTGTGTTATATTGAGGAATATTATCTCTTCGCGAGCCATGCACGGATACATACGTAATTCTCATATATCATCATTATTCATACACAGGTGACCAATTAACAATGAGCCAATATTACCGGAAGCTATATTTCTTTAGAATATTAAATGGTAATTGTGCAATAATTCAGAGAGATACGCTATTTCGTAGTATTGTTTAAAAGGACGAATATATATAATTGTTTTTATTGGGCTCAAATATTCCCTGCGTGTCGTAATTATTTAGCTGACTAATAAATGATATATTTGGGATAACTCTTTTTTTTGGTAAAGTACAGATTCTAGTAAGGAAGTAAGAAATATAAAGCCTAGGTGGCTGAGTGGATTTCATCGCTGACTTTGTTGTGCTGGCGATTAGGTGCCTGACTCTGGCAGTGTGGTGTTCGAATCCCGGATAGGACTCTACCCAAACAAGGACTAGAATCTGTATTTTACTAAGAAAATATTATCCCAAATATAACATTTGTTCCATTTGACCACGTTCATTGTGTATTCACTGACTTAAAAGGATTGCTTGGGTAACATGTGTGGTATGTTATCGTGTCCCGGTGTAATGGGTAGTTGCTCATACCATCAACCACTGTCTCTTGTCCCATGTTGTACTAAGACTCTCCCACTTATTTTGCAGGTAACTGAAGACCTGTACAAACGCTAGATGTTCCAAATGGCCAACCTGTCGACCAGCTTGCTGTCCATGTTAGACATGAATCAATACAACCTTTCTCCAAACTTCACCATCGATGACCTCATCAGGGTGGCTGTGGATTACAAGGTCTCGGACCACTGGTTCAATTCCGAGACCGAGCTTGTTCTCGTTGTCATCTTCTGTTTCGTCATCTTGTGTGGCCTCTCCGGCAACATCGTTGTCTGCCTCATCATCTGCAGGAACGGGAACCTCAAATCAACACGAAACTGGTACATCCTCAACTTGTCCATCTGTGAAATCATGACCTGCATACTGTGTATGCCTTTCATCCTGGTGCGGATGACGCTCAAAAACTGGCGCTTGGGCTTGGTGCTATGTAAACTCGTCCCAACGCTTCAAACAACCTATGTGGCAGTATCAACACTTACCATTGTGGCCATCGCCGTGGATCGGTACCGTGTAATTGTGTGTTCGGTGACCAGGAGTCACTACAAGAAGAAGACAAAGTATGTGATCCCCTTGACATGGCTTGTGGGATTCTTTATGTCCCTCCCGCAGCTGTTGACTAATCGCGTGGAAGATGTTATCGGCGTGTCTCGCTACCTCCTGTACTCCATCTGTATTGAACATTGGGAGTCCTCCGAGCTACTCATGTGCTATACAGTGACCGTTCTACTCATGCAGTACCTCCTACCTGTTCTTGCCATCATCACACTCCATGTCCTCATATGTCGGTTTCTTCGCGTCCGTATCAACACACGACAAGCCTCACTGAGGGAGGTGCACCGAGCTAAGAGAAACATGGCGAGTCATCGTAAAAATATGTATCTACTAACAAGCATAGCTGTTTTGTTTGCGGTGACGTGGTTGCCAATAACTCTTGTCAACATCTTGGCCGACTTTGATCAGGGGGTGTTTGAGGACAAGGATTTCCGACTCATCCACGCGACTTGCCTTTTAGTGGCGCTGTGCTCTGTGTGTATAAACCCGGTTGTCTACGGCTGGTTCAACTCCAACTTTCGCCGTGATCTACAGAGATGGGCCAGTACAAAGATATCAAGCTCAGTGGATATGCTCCAATACATTGAGGCCAGCACACACCGGTCCAAAACCGATATGTTGTCCATGTCAACACACAACCTACGGGGATATTCCATTGTTCATGAACGACGTTTAGAATAACACGTGACTACAACCTGTCTTTCCTATTTGGGGGCTGTAGCCTAATTAGTTTTTCTTGGCATATCGAAGCGACACTCAAACAATTGTGCAACCCCAATCCATTTATTGATGTTTTCGCCTGATGTGTAGCTGCACTACTCCCAAAGGATGTGTCAAATGGAAGTATATAGCATCGGATGTCATGACAGAGACGCAATTAAACAGTTATATTTTTATTTTTCTCGATAAAGTGCAATGGTTGCATCTTTTCATATATCTGCCACTGAACTCAGAACGTTTGCCGATGGATGTAAACGAAATGTCGACGATGAAGTATAATGTTTTGCTCTATATTGTGAGAACACTTCGTTTAGTTAGACAGGGCAAACAGTTATCGGTGAGAGTATATAGCGAGGTGCATGCATGTGTGTGTGGCTGCTTGTACAAGTCCGGACTGATGCCGATTTATAGTGCTAGCCCATTGAAATACCATGCCGCAGGTTAACATGAATACCCCACTCAGACACAGTATACTGATTCCTAGCCGACCAGTCCTTTTTTAGCCTCTTAATGCCGAGCGCCAGACAGGGTTACAAGTACCATCTCTTAACGTCGTTTGGTATGACGCACCGGGTATCGAACTCCGGGCGGACGCTCTACCACTAGACCACGGAGGCGGTCCGCAAACAATTATGACATCATCTAACGTATAAACATGATAGCACTGCATTCGATACATTTATTTTTGCAAGATGCCAATCGCCCAGATAACCTGTAAAAGAATGATTGACACAAGTGACCGTTCCAAAAAGCGATCTCACATTTACCGTATAAGTACAGGATTAATGCTGCGATCGCTTTTTGCCAACAGGTCCAGTGGTAGTTTATTTAATAAATATAGACGCCCAGGCGAAATGTACTAGTTTTACTGTATAAGCTCTATACACCTAGTCTTATTTATCATGATGACATAGGTTACTAGTTCCCAGCAACCACTGTAAACTTGCCTAAAATGGACCATTACGTCAAGCCGTGAGATATCAAGTTACTGTTAACACGGCCGAGATGTTTCCCCATCAGTATCCCACGTGCACGCATCTACTTGAACATGGATACCGATGATGCTATTTTCAGCTAATGAAACGTGCCAACCATCAGAGTAACGTATTACTACAAGTCTCTTAGAGCAGTGGCATTGACTGTTTGATACAGTTGTGATTCAAGCTGTCGTATCTGTGGCGCCTAGCTCATGAAGGTCAATAAATCTTCTGTTATGATTACTTGTGCTATTTAGGATGATTACTTGTGTTATTTAGGTAGAAGTGCATTCATGTTTATGAATAGGCATACATCTGTGAAAAACTTTCTCATCCAAATCCCAGGAACATACCATTCTGTTGCGATCGGGATTATCTTTCAAGAAGAATTATCCTTGTTCCTCAATCTTATAACGCACTCTTCTAAATACAAGCAACAAAACCCTTTCCATAATTATAAGTCATTTCTCTGTGAAAACCAGAGTGCATTTTAGAATTCCTAAAGTATCATAAGCTTGTGATTATGAATCACTATCAAATAGTGATGATACCAGTGTTCGCGAAAAGTTGAGCATTAAAATATCCTACCCATCGGTGGCACGCGAACCACGAACCAACAACATAACACTTGAGAGATTTGTCAAACTAGTTTACATTTAAACTCCACGTCTTGTGAAGGTGTGTCCACATGCAGCTTACGAGTATATTCGATCGAATTTCATTCATCAGTAACGGACGAATTAAAGACTAATTTGTAATTTGTTCTTAAAGTGGAGAAGTGATTCCATTTCAACATGTTCATCAGAGCGGAGCTGTTCTTAATTAATAACGGGCCTTCCGCTTTCACACTCATTACATTGGCACAAAGTGTGATACCTATTCTGGGTGTCCCAAGCAGGGAGATCGCTGGGACATTGCTGGGACACAGCGGAGTACAGCCAGATTATTATTAATAATAATTCATTCATTGATGTCTGAGTTGGGTTTAACGTCGCACTGAACAGTATTCCAGTTATATCACAGCGTGTGAGATAGGTGTGAGAGGAAAGCCCGAAGTGTTGAAGATCTCAGACATCTACCACTTTGGTGAAACCGACGAGCACGGGTATGGTACTGACCAACCAGTAAATGTGATATGAATGATATGTCCAACGGATACTGTTGATACTGTTGATACAACAGCTATATGTGTTCTCTGGCAACCGAAACCTTTTATTTTGTATCACCTTTGTTTAATTTATTGTTTATTAACGACTTAATTAATTTCCTTGTACTCTGGCTTTTGAATGTGCTCGGTCAAGTCATGGGTAACATATATTTTTGTACTAATATCGGTCCAGTACTGTTACGTACTATCCTTGTATCAATAAACCTCAAACAGAGCCATGTTGTATGTTTTCTTCTGATGCAACATGTAGAAGAACGGATACATCGTCCATCTGTGGGGGCGGTCGGGTAGCCTAGTGGTTAAAGCGTTCGCTCGTCACGCCGAAGACCCGGATTCGATTCCCGACATGGGTACAATGTGTAAAGCCCATTTCTGGTGTCCCCCACCGTGATATTGCTGGAATATTGCCAAAAGCGGCGTCAAACCAAACTCACTCACTCACTCACTCACTCACTCACTCGTCCATCTGTGAGATGACAATGGCGTCATTGTATGATGACGTCGTCTCGTTGGACAAATATACGGTACGAAAGAAGATGAAGTTACATAATTGGAGGATGTCGCGGTTAGAAGATGACGTCGGAGGGCAGTAAGTTACGGTGGAAGTGGATGTTGTCTTCAGCGGACAATGATTGATTCCTGGCAGACGAAACAACAGGGAACTGCGAGGTAGCTGATAATTTGATGCATCGTTCCAGAAAGATATGCCTAGAGACCCGATGGCCAATAGTGGGATGAAGAGTGATATTGATATAACGTTCTGACTGTAGGCTTACATGCGTACCTCCCAAACACTTCACAAGTTCACGGAGCAACGAAAAACGGATTTCCTATTTTTTGAATTAACATGAAAGTAATAGTCAAATTAATTGGTGCTGCGATTCGCTGTGCAAGGTCAACAATATTTAAGGTCGTTGGTACAAATCCACGATTCCCATTGATGATGGGGTCTTTTTCGAAACATTTATTTAAAATATGTTTCAATCTTCGTCACAGCATGTCTGCTATGGAATGATTGTGTCAATGAGTCAGGCTGAACGCCAATTTGAACAAAATTGTAATTAGTTTACGACGTACCTTCTGTTAGGGAAAGACCGAAATGAGGTTTTAGGTTTGGTGTATCAACATGGTACTTGCGATGGTATGATTCACCAAAGACCAAACTCACTTGGAATCGTGAACTTAAAGCAACGACCACAGGGTATGGTTGACCTTGCACGGCGAATCGCGGCGCCTTAGACGACTCGTCCTCCTGTGTCCCCTCGTCCTCCTGTGTCACCTCGTCCTCCTGTGTCCCCTCGTCCTCCTGTGTCCCCTCGTCCTCCTGTGTCCCCTCGTCCTCCTGTGTCCCCTCGTCCTCCTGTGTCCCCTCGTCCTCCTGTGTCCCCTCGTCCTCCTGTGTCCCCTCGTCCTCCTGTGTCCCCTCGCCCTCCTGTGTCCCCTCGTCCTCCTGTGTCCCCTCGCCCTTCTGTGTCCCCTCGCCCTCCTGTGTCCCCTCGTCCTCCTGTGTCCCCTCGCCCTCCTGTGTCCCCTCGTCCTCCTGTGTCCCCTCGTCCTCCTGTGTCCCCTCGCCCTCCTGTGTCCCCTCGCCCTCCTGTGTCCCCTCGCCCTCCTGTGTCCCCTCGCCCTCCTGTGTCCCCTCGCCCTCCTGTGTCCCCTCGTCCTCCTGTGTCCCCTCGTCCTCCTGTGTCCCCTCGTCCTCCTGTGTCCCCTCGCCCTCCTGTGTCCCCTCGCCCTCCTGTGTCCCCTCGTCCTCCTGTGTCCCCTCGTCCTCCTGTGTCCCCTCGTCCTCCTGTGTCCCCTCGCCCTCCTGTGTCCCCTCGCCCTCCTGTGTCCCCTCGTCCTCCTGTGTCCCCTCGCCCTCCTGTGTCCCCTCGCCCTCCTGTGTCCCCTCGTCCTCCTGTGTCCCCTCGTCCTCCTGTGTCCCCTCGTCCTCCTGTGTCCCCTCGTCCTCCTGTGTCCCCTCGCCCTTCTGTGTCCCCTCGCCCTCCTGTGTCCCCTTATGGGATTGAACGCACATACCGATCAGGTGTGAATAGTTTTATTCCAACATCCGTACGTCTTGCTGAAGATGACAGATGCATTTGTTAATTTCCTTCATTTCTCAGGGGCATTTTTTTATATGCACATATTCTATTTATGTAGACCGTATGTATGCGCCAATTTCCTTCATATTTAATATGCATGTTGTTTTGGCGTTCATTTATACTATTTCCGAAGACGACACACGCCAATTTCCTAATTTTCTTATACATAAAGATAGAACTTAATCTCTTTTGTATAGGTAGCGGAGGCACGAATTTAAGTAGCTTTGTAGAACCTATTCTATATTTACTTTAAATTCGGAACCAAAGAACATTTCTTGCAGGAAATTATTTTCCAAAGACGGAAGGCGATGGTGCAGATTTCATGTTAATGTGATTAGAAAAGTACGTACTTCCCATGACAACATGGCGAATATACGAATACAATCAGTTAAGTATCGGGGGGAACAATGGGTGTGTTTGGTGGGGTCTAAAGTTTATGTGTACAGTGTACAGTGTCCTCTCTGTGTACAGTGTACAGCGTCCTCTCTGTGTACAGTTTGCTTCACAAGAAAGCATCAGGAACCCTGCTAACGCGCACAAATTCCCCTTTTGTCTTTGTTTGTTTGTTTGTTGTTTAACGCCGCCATCAGCAATATTCTGGACCAGACAATCCAGTTATGGACATAATGAGCATGAGTATCGATCCACGCAATAGGGGTGAGTGAGTGAGTTAATATTTAACGTCACATCGGCAATATCAGGCGAGCCCGTTAGTCGCCTCTTACGTCAAGCATGGTCGCCTTTTACGGCACGCATGGTTTGCGGAAGACCTATTCTACCCCGGATCTTCAGGGGTCTCGTCTTAATTGTCATCCTTGGCTTATTAGACTCATACCCATGATGGCGGCTTTTACCAAGGTGATAAATGTGTCTGGACTCTTTGGACACGAGGTGATATAACTGTTGAACAACTCACTCACTCATCACGCAAATTGGACATTGAAGCATTGAAGTTTCCAGAAGAAATGAGTTGGTGTCATCACTGATATTTAGTGATCCATTCATATAATTGTCAATGCTATTTTCCATTGTACGTCCAATGGTATCAATGGATAATCGAGACTGATTGTTCTCTGGCGTTGATGTTTTTAGCATAATGTCGTGGTGTCACATGGAAACGACCCGTCGACATCCGGATTAGAATAAATTGATCTTCAGCAACCCATGCTTGGAGTAAGAGGGATAGGGTGGTCAGGCTCGCTGACGTGGTTGATGCATATCATCGTATACCAATTGCGAAGATCGATGCTCATGATGTCAAGCACGGGATTGTGTTTTCCTCACTCGATTATTTACGGACTGCCGACACCTGAAGTATGACTGAGCGCGGCGTTAACAACCAACAAACAACATTATGAAACAACCTTCGGCATATTCACTCAACACATGAGTTGACGTTATAATTGCCTACTTTCCGTCACGATAACGTAGAACTTGTAGGAATCCGAATCCATACTTCTGATTTGCACAATAAAACCATGTGATGATTGTAAGTCTGAATAAACATGAATGGTTTAACAGTGTTTAAGTGTAGCGTGCTACACGGAATAAAATATATGTACGTTCCGCCGAAAAAGGAGAGACCATTTTAATCTTCTGTGAAACATTAAAGCGTGCTTGACAAGACCATTCCTGTTTTACAGTGTGCGTCTATATCCAGTGTCACAGAGAGGTACTGCGCTAGTTATGATCAGACTAATATTGAAATAAGTATACTTTCTACATCCGGACCGCCTCCGTGGTCTAGTGGTAGATCGTCTGTCCGGAGAGCAAAGGACGGGGTTCGATCCCCGGGCATACCAAGAGATTGTTAACAGATTGTAATTGTTACCCACTCTGGCGCTCGGCATTAAGGGCTAAAACAAGGACTGGTCAACTCGGAGTCAGTATACTGTGTCAGAGTGGGGTATTCATGTTAAACTTTGGCATGGTATCTCAATGGGCTAACACTATAAAATCGGCATTAGTCCTGACTAGTTCAAGCAGACACACACACACACGTGCAATGATAATAAGTGCAATAATCTTGGACGCGAGGTAAAACATTTTACATCCATTCAGAAAGGATTCAAATATGAAACAGGTGTGTTTATCAATTAGATCACACCGCCTTCATTTAGCTGACATATTGCGGCGTTAACCAACAAGCAAACAATTGTAACATTTCTAATTTTCACAGAACTCAAATTTTCATTTCGTCTATTAAATTATCTGAGTCCATCTTGACACGTGTATCGTATTGTACACTGCAGATTGATCTGTGAAGCCAAACAGTCCATACCATCACACCATAAGTTATCCTCACCGTGAAGATCCGGGGTAGAATAGGTCTTCAGCAACCTATGCTTGCCGTAAAAGGCGACTATGCTTGTCGTAAGAGGCGACTAACGGGAGCGGGTGGTCAGGCTCGCTGACTTGGTTGATCCATGTCAGCGTATCCCAATTGCGTGGATCGATGCTCATGATGTCAATCACTCGATTGTCTGGTCCAGACTCGATTATTTACAGACCGTCGTCATATAGCTGGACTATTGCTGAGTGTGGCGTAAAACAACAAACAAATAAACAAACATTTCAATAAGTTTACTTCAGAATTGACTTCAGTAAGGTTTTGCTTTTATGGAGGAATACAGCGTAGAAACGGTGTGACTTTTGTGTAAGTCCGCATAGCTCAATAAACGAAAAAATATATTGAAGTCAATTCCTTTCAATAAATACGCCACAAATAACAACTTCACAGCCTGCTTATTTAATAACTACCCACTCCCAAAACAAACGATGTACAGCAATACAAAATCTTCGACATCGTTCAACGAAATAATGCAACCCCGCCCATTCCATTATCAACCAATTAAGAACAGAAATGGGCGTGGCCTAATGTTTTTTTCGTTTCATGGAAACATATAAAAATATTAAATATTTGGTTAGCCAGTCAAATGCCACATAACCACATACAATTGGCGAAAACAAGACATTGCAGTGCGCAGGTCAGCCCCTGTAGCGTCCTGTCTGGTCTGTCCACAATGTCGATAGCAAATGTCTACAGTCGCATGAAAACATTCACGAAACTGCGGACTGGTGTTGACAAACATGTCCGTCATAAATCGGCTCCGTCTACTTTAGCATAAGCACTGAGTGCCTTGTAACAGCCTGTCTGGGATCACAGTGCCGATCTGTGTAGTTCCCATAAACCGTGCAATCATCTGTCATGTCTAAAAGGGATCTCATCCAGTCGCTATTTGATATGTCTCCCGATGATGTAAGTACACATGTTTATCGTAATTGTATTCACTATTGATTGATGACTGCGGAAACCAACGTAATAACATTGGGAAAGAGCAGTCTGTCTGACCTCAGACCCTATCCATTTTCAGACTTTATCCTCAATCCGACAATAAGTAGAGCTATGAGCATCTTGTGGGATAACATTAGATCCTAGATCATGGATTCTAGGTACTGAGTGGCATCTAACTGCGGCTATTTGTTTCTTAATAGGGCAATCTGATGGGGTTTGAAATATTAGGAACTATTAACCGCTAGTATCACCTTAACGTATCGCCGGGTGTCTGTGGATGTCATTAGCGGAGAGTGATTACCGACGTCACTGAACTGCCCGTTATACTAATGACCACATGAGCGAGAGACGTTTGATAAATAGGCATAAAGACCTGTGACCCGTGAAGATCCGGGGTAGAATAGATCTTCAGAAACCGATGTCGTAAAAGGCGACTATGCTTGTCGTAAGAGGCGACTAACGCGATCGGGTGGTCAGGCTCGCTGACTAGGTTTATGCATGTCATCGATCGTACACCAATTGCGTGGATTGATGCTCGTGACGTCAATCACTGGATTGTCTGGTCCAGCCTCGATTATTTACAGACCGCCGTCATAAAGCTGGAATATTGCTGAGTGCGGCGTTAAACAACAAACAACAACAATATAGATACCTGTAAGTTAAGGTTATCGTTGTTGAGAAAAACAAACATATGCCGTTGTCATGTGTCGTCATAGTCAGAAGATGTATGGTTCCTAAATGATACATTTAGGGCAGGCGTTTGATTAAGATAGCACTTCCTGCAGCATTCTCCACATGAGGTCACTTACTGTGACTGTACTATCAGTGGGTGATGTCTCAACAACAGCCGATTTTTTGTGTGCATACATTGATACCCCTCACGCATGCTCACGTATTAGGTGTGATGCCTTATTGAAAGCTAGTTATTTTATAGAGTATCAGAGTCGTGCAGGTAGACGTGTAATCTTGGTGAAATCAACGCTGACAGGTATGATGATGACAGATCATTGTTCATCCTCGAGGTGGGGGTACTGGTGGCAGAGTTGCGTCCCTTGGGCACGCCAGAAACCTATGATTGTGGGTCCGAATCCCGGTTCGCCCCGATTTTGTTTCTAGGTTTGTCAGCACCATACCCGTGCTCGTTGGTTTCACCGAAGTGGTAAACGTCTTAGACCTGCATCACTTCGGGCTTTCCTCCCACATTAAGCTAACACACCGTGATATAACTGGAATACTGTTAAAAGCGGTTAAACCCAACCCACTCATACTCGAGGTCAAAATGTCATTCGAACCCACAACCTGCGGACGCTGACAAAAGGTATCTATCTTCGAATTGAAGTCTCATCGCCACTGGGCCGTCGGTGTTCCCATATGTCCCACAGGGCTGTCAACTTCTTACCATGAAGAACACACTAAGACTCAGATTAATCAACTCCTGCATCATCTCATGGAAATGCTGAGAAGAAAGTCATTACATGTAACCATATGTGTTCAAGCTAACTGTATAATAGAATTACAAGTCGCACACTGACAAACATGCATTCGACTGTGACAGCAAATAATCACCTTTCTCAGCACAGACAACTTCCAGGGCTCCCTCATCCACGGCAGATCGCCAGGCGTGGTCCCTCAACAATGCCTAAGTGAGATTTGTTTCCTAGTGTGCAGAAGTTTATGAACGTATGTAATACAGTTGATGCATGTTGATGCCCTCGGGGATGCTCAGGGATATCTAGGGCATTTATTTCTGTCCGTGATGATTACGCTGTTGGTACTCCATTCAAGAAGCATGTGTTGTATTAACATGAGAAAACAACTTGAAACATGTTTCTAATCCAACATGTTTCAATCCTATGTAGTCCAATGTATATAACACAATGTGAAAATACTGAACTTGAGTAAGTGAGTGAGTATGGTTTTACACCGCTTTTAGCAATATTCCAGTAATATCACAGCGGGGGACACCAGAAATGGGCTTCACACATTGTACCCATGTCGGGAATCGAACCCGGGTCTTCGGCGTGACGAACGAACGCTTTAACCACTAGGCTACCCGACCGCCCTACTGAACTTGAAACGTTTAGAGACGCTAACACTGTCCTTAACAGTTTTAGCCATCTTTTCGACAAGCAGATTTTTTTTTTTCCCGGAATAATTTCTTATCATGTTTGTTAAAACAAGATTTACCCCGTTCTTACATTTTGCGTACACATAATTTATCTCCCAAGTATTTTATAATAACTGTTTTAACATTTCAAACTAATATTCCGTATTAATAATGTCATACAAATATCACGTGACCGCCACCGTTGTCTAGTGGTGGAACGTTAGTTCGGACAGGTACAAGCAACCACATACACACACGTGCACCCACTTCGCTGTATAAGAACAATCTTTAACGCGGCGTTAAGCCCTATTTCTCTTCACCTCATAATCTATGTGGAATTGCTATCGAAAAGACAACGAAATCAAGTAGGACCAGACAACGCTTGTAATAGTTATGTACATCATTTTGGAGCATAAGAAACTGTTATCAAAACATAAGAGATCGTCATGAAAACATTACCAAACTATCACAAATGTCCAAATAAGGTTTCAATGCGTGTCTTGATTGATTGGTGACAATGACTGTGATTATCTTGATTTGTTGGAAACAAAATTAAAATTGACTTTTATTCATGAAAGCATCACAAAGCATCACCTGTTTTGATCAGAACTATCTATGATTTGTTTGTTTGTTTGTTGTTTAACGCCGCACTCAGCAATATTCCGGCTATATGACGGCGGTCTGTAAAATAATCGAGTCTGGACCAGACAGTCCAGTGATTGACATCATGAGCATCGATCCACGCAATTGGGATCGATGACATGTATCAACCAAGTCAGCGAGCCTGACCACCCGATCCCGTTAGTCGCCTTTTACGACAAGCATAGTCGCCTTTTACGGCAAGCATGGGTTGCTGAAGACCTATTCTACCCCGGAATTTTCACGGCTATGAACTATCTATGAAGAATTATAACACATCAACATGATAGTGAACAGAGTGACCTGTCTGTGAGAAGGAACATCATTATGAGTTCATTTAGAACTGATCAACATTTGGCAAACTGCTTCCTACAATCACTCCAGACAACGTAATAACCCATCTGCCTACGGCAGAAGACAAATAGATGGCTGAGTTAAGTCAATAGACAAATCAATTATTGAACCTGTTCAAACTGCCCATCAAATGATATGCTAAATTTACTACGACTAAAGAAACTTTATTTATTCTCTGCTTGTATCATGGTTATACTACCGCCTGTAGTGAAGGTTCTCGACACGAGATCCAAACACACACATGACCACTCCACATCTGCACATTGCTTATGCGCCAAGAATTTTGATATAATGATAGATGTTATAAGATAGTTTCAATAATATTTGCAAAAAAAGAAAATTAATTCTTGTATTGGAGTTTGGATAGAATGCACATCGAAACCTTAATTACCGGTTGGAGACAGGATTGCAATACTGCATACCATCGCCGACCAATTAAAAATAAAGCGGGCATTCAAAGTTAGCATCTATCCAATCTGCATTCCTCTTTTCAGGACGTAATTCCGGAGCGTGGACGCCATATTTCTCTATCAATATTTCGACAAAAGTCGAAGGCGTATATAGAATGCACATCGGATCTAGCAGGGGAACGGTCGCTTCATAATCGCAAGATGACAGCCCTGTACACCATCGCTGTTAAATCTCTAAGTAAACAGACATTCAAAGATACCATCTGGCCCCGTGCATTTCCCTCATCAGGGCGAACGTTCAATGCATGTCAATAACTACCATTGGAGAGCCCTAAACGAATGATGTCCTTGTCCGATAATTAGTAGAATAATTATTGACTATATAGGCTAATGTGGTCAGCATTGTCAATCACTGACCAATTATTTTTACTGTGAGCTGCAAATATGATGATTACAGGCAGCTGAAGGCGACGCTATTCGGGGGCATGGGAATTGCTCTCAACTAACTTAAGGATGTTAACATTTCATGCAGGAATGTCGTCACTAATTACCCAAGGTCGCGCTGGGAGGGAATGTTTGGTTTAGGGGACATTGTATTTGTGTATAAAAAACACATGGCATCACGACCATTCTACATCGCCCGAAACAGCTGAAAAAGACTTATTTTCATTCACTAGCATTCATTTTCTTTCATTCTCTCGTGTGGCATGCAAGGCCCGGTTTATAAAGAAAACTGAAGTCCACTTAACGTGACATTTATACTTCGACCTGTAACTTCAAATAACCATGGCACATAGATCATTGTGTGCAATGGACCTAGGGTTGGCAAAACGGTAGTGGCACCACAGGCCAGGAAGATTTTAAATACTTTTTGCTGGAATAAACAGTTGCATATAAATAATATCAGTGTACACTTTCTCAGAAGCGACATCTACAGCGTCATTATATGTTATAGCCAATGGAGATACGTGTGTGGCTTGGTCATAATATTAGTGCTAAAGAATTGAATTCAAGTTAATTTGTGATTGCATATAGTTCTTTGATTCTACCTTGCATTGTTCGGTCTGGATTCCTATTTTAATAACGGATAAACTGTTTGTAATTGTTCTATATCAAAGAACATGTGCACCGCAATGACACGATATAGACACAGACATTCGCAATGATCACTTTCATCTTATTCTATTTTTTATGTCCATGCATGATGTCTTTGGTAACAAGCATGATCTCCATATGTTTTTGTGTGAGGAACGGGGCGGTCGGGTAGCTTAGTGGTTAAAGCGTTCGCTCTTGACGCCGAACACCCGGGTTCGATTCCCGACAAGGGTACAATGTGTGAAGCCCATTTCTGGTGTCCCCCGCCGTGATATTGCTGGAATATTGCTAAAAGCGGCGTGAAACCATACTCACTGACTTTTGTATGGAACGTGTGGACGATTCCTTTTAATGTATATCCTCATGTTTATAGTTTCTTATATATTTAATTTGGTTTAAACTTTTTAAAATGGATACCAAAGAAATGCTATATTATAATGTTGTTATACAACGAATACAGTACGCATAATGTAAATAGACATATCATATTATATATTAATTATATACTGTGTTTATGAAAACCTTAGAATGATCAGTGCACATACAATCCAAATATTTTTTACAACAGCAATACGTCATAAGACGACATTAGACATTAGACGACACGTATTTACGAAAGGTTGACGGCATTGTTAATGATTTCAAGGAAATATCATTCTTATTCTAAACATCCGTACTAAAAATTAAAAATGTTTAATCGAAAATGGAAAACCTGTAAGAATGGACGATCATCCTAGAAAGGAAACGTTTTGAAAATGTTTATAAGATAAGATAAATGTCATTTGCCCCAAAACGATACCATCTGTCATAAACATATAAAGCTATACGTATTGTAAACATATCACATATATGGTGTAAGGACTTTGTATGCATGTGGAACCAAATAATAAAGTACATCAAAATAAATAAATTAATAAAATAAACGAATAACAATCAAAACACATTTTTGTGATGCATGTGGTCTAATAGATGTACGTTTGTGTTGACGAAGTTGCTCTTCGAATCGGAACACTCTTGGACTTCTACTCACATAGTCAATCGAAATGCGCAGATAAAGGCATTTAGTTCTTTAAATGCCAAACACGTTATCTGCGTTCAAGGCCATGTATATCTCAACACAAGTACTTGGAACACTTATAATCAAATTTATCTTGCCATTCGGAATAAGTGATGGATTAAATATATTGATTTCCCCAATTACTTGATTAATTGAGGATGCGGCACTGTTTGGATGTAAACTAATATTCAAAGTGTCATGGGGTCTTTAACCGCAATGCTCTTGCCATCTCCCTTGGGAGATGTATGTTCAATATTGATCCTAATGCGTTATCTATTGATGGAGTGATATACCGCATGGGAAGCGAGATAACGCCATTCTGATGGAAAAACAATGGACGGATGATAGTAATTGACATATCATTAAGCTCATTCGAGTGAGGTCTATTTTCAAATGAAACTCCGATCTCGTTTGTACGATTCCAACTATATCATGGCCATATGTTTACGAATCACAATCAAATAGTAATAACACCTGGTGTCCGCGAAAGTGGGAGCCTACCGGAAGACGCTTCCAGGATGACGAGGACATAAAGGCTGCCACAGAGGCGTGGTTAGAGGGCCAATCTGCGGATTAATATAAAAGTGGTATTAAAAGCTTGAAGGACAAATGGAATAAGTGTATTAAGGTGAATGAAGATTATATTGAAAAATAAAAGTGCAAAATATATTCTGCAACTTGGTTGTGTATTGAAGTTGCAAAACTTATTGAACGCCCCTCGTACCTACTGTATTGGTTATATGACGTACGGGGAGTCTTTGATCATCGATAATCATATCATATATTGTATCAACATTGTCTTACGCAGTTGAAGATCCACCTGATCTTATATAATCCTCGGGGGTCTCTCATTCACTCTTGAACGCCACAGCCAACCTCACAACAGTAGCAAATAAAATGGACATAATCTCTTTCATATTCTTAAGAAATCCCTGCCAAAAGCAGAGTTGATTGGACGTTTCCAATTACATCATGGTCATGTGTTTATGAATCACTATCAAATAGTGATGATACTACGTTTTTGTGAAAAGGTGAGTGTAGGAAGGAGAATCATCCCCTAAAGTTGTCACCATGTCCGCAAGGGTGGCTGATGGTGTTAGCCCTTTCAGATACGTGATGACAACGCGTAAGCCAATTAGGTCCATTTCTATCAACAGTCACTTTGATGCCTGCAGAAATATGCTGCCTTGTTGTTCATTTGGTTCACATTCAGTCTGCAAGCATTAAACGTACAATTGTACAAAATACATGAATACATCCGTGGTAGTTAGGTTCAGAACATTTCAGCCAAACTAACACACTAACCAGTGATGAATCATTATGTTATAACATGTGAGCGAGTATGGTTTTACGCCGCTTTTAGCAATATTCCAGCAATATCACCTAACACAAGAAATGGGCTTTACACATCATACCTATGTCGGGAATCGAACCCGGGCAAACGCTTTAACCACTAGGCTACCCGGTCGCCCCTTGATGTTATAAAGAAGAGGGTGTGGTGGTGATATGAATTACAATCACATAATCAGTCATGCATATCTGTATACATGTCTCTGTGTTAATGCCAATTAACTTTGTTGTATTGTCTATACTATCTTGATGTTTAAAGGTTGCTGAGTGAATGGCGACGATGCTTTCGGTTTCATTAACCAGAAAGTAATACGGCTTCGCTGGGTCTATATCGACATGTATGCTTGTACTTTCAGGTCAATGGGCTTCTGAGAAGGCCACGAGCATACAACAACAGCTGGAAGGTATAGGAAGGAGAGACTGAGAATGGCGTCAGTGATGACGTTATCATACAAATTGACAATCACATGATACTATAATAAGACGTTCCCTAGAGCCATAAGCTTGACCTTCTGATCGCTCGGGACTTCAATACGTATCACTTGCATGACCAAAAGACGCGTCTAGCCTGCTGTTTTCAAATTGATAGTCCAAAGAACAAGTATGGGGTATTTCAAATCAGCAGTATGCACGGTTATTTTGAAGGAGAGGATTGTGTAGGTCTTATGTGTGAAAACATGTTTCACTGACGTCCTATTAGAATCACACTAGGGTTGTAAGTAAATTCCTCACATTATTTGACAAGGGTAGTCAACGCAGACTAAGAACATTGTGCGATTCTAGAATGACGTCTGTGGCCTCTGGCTGAAAGTGGGGCGGTCGGGTAGCCTAGTGGTTAAAGCGTTCGCTCGTCACGCCGAAGACCCGGGTTCGATTCCCGACATGGGTACAATGTGTGAAGCCCATTTCTGGTGTCCCCCGCCGTGATATTGCTGGAATATTGCTAAAAGCGGCGTAAAACCTCATTCACTCACTCACTCTGGCTGAAAGTGTTAACTGGACTGTTGTAATAGCGCCGCAAATCACCATAGAATAAAAGTATCTTACGATTAGAAAAAACATGCTGGGGATATTAGACGGTCTGAAATCGCGTACCTACGATGGAAGTAGAAATCCTTATCCTTAGAAATAACTGTTCCTGGGGTAATGCGTGAAGGGGTTTTCCAAAGTGTCACTTCTCAATACGCACCATGGGAAGTTCACAGATCCTATGCAAGGACATTGACGTGGGATTCGAAACTTAAACAGTTATTGAAATAATTTTGTATAAATGTAAGCGATATGGTTATTCTTTGTGTATTTCATGTAAGGCAACTCGATACAGCTGGAGCACACTATATTCCACATATCGTAGATGCAAGTGGATCCAAGTGAACGCCTAAGTCTGCAGCTCAATGAATTAATTCCTTTTCAGATTAAGCTCTAGGTGACAAGTGGTGTTTTCTGCAGTGAAAACGACATAGAGCCTTACTCACTACTGAAGGACTATAACCAAGAAGCAAGAAACTTTCCAAGTGTTATACACATCTTGATGCTATGAGTAAAATGAATTCTGCTGCAACAAGTATTTATGTATATAATATTTAGCAGTACTTTATGTACCTCTCTCGGACTTTACGTAGACATTATTTTATATATATACAGCGTAACGGTATAACTGTACTCTTGAAAATCGTATTTGTGAAACCATTGAGTAAACTATACAGCTCATTTTTAGAGCTTTTGTATAATAGATAGATAGATATATGTATATACAAAAATTAGGTAAATGTTCACTCGGTGTACATGTAATATATAATAAAGTAATAAAGTCCACGTTAGTCCATCATCTTCTTTATATCAGTTTCAGACATAGTCCTTTCGCTGTCTCATGACAGCTCTTCAGTGTAACTGACATACTTATGATGACGTCATAAATTACAACTGTGACGTCATAATGTTTTTACACACTCCAGCGACGACACCAAGTAATTTAACAATTGTAGGGAGACATTGAATTAAAATATACAGTATTTGTAAAGTAAGAGTGTAACATTTACGACTGAAATGAGAAATCTGTTAATACATTCTAGAGTTCAATTTGGGTTTCATCAATTGGATATATCGAACATCAGGTATATATATACTTAGTCGTTATATAAATACAGACACTTAGTCGTTAACAACAGTCTGTGTGATCACATATATATATAATACAGCCATAAGTGCTTGAGACGTGTTGTTTTGTATTTTAGAGAATGTCATTTGTATTGTTAGCGCCTCATGAACGATCTCCTGAACAATGCAAACACGAGTGACATTAAAGTAATCCCCCATCAGATCACCAGTCCATGGCATGTCAGTAGAGCTTCGTGAGCTGTAAGCTGAAGTTTTAACCTAATCTGGGGAACTGTCAAGATTCATTCTGGACATCGATGTGTTTAGGAGGAAATGCTAGCTGATGATTGAATTAGGTGAGCTGACAGACATTCAGTACGTTTACATGTACATGCATTTCCGATCACATCATTCCATCAAACACGCTTTGGAAACAACTGTATATTTTTCAGAATCTCTAAGTACAGAAAGACTAAAACTTTTTTAACTTCAGGTAGTGGTTGCAGGATTGTTTAGGCTTACATACCCCTGTGTGCAATCCGTTATTTCACTTTTGTTTTATGATTGTCCATGGTAGGGGATCAGGGATGGACATTTGAGGACTTCCTTCGTCGTTTTTGTTTGACGTTCTTCCATAAGTGATACGTGTTAATACGCAGCATTACATTTTAAAAGCAACCGAGGTAATTTCACACATAAGTTTTCAGACATTAAGAAATTATAGTCACATCAAATTAACCCTTTGTATTTGGGAATCTCCATACCTTCATTGTATCGTTACACTAATGACACCAGGTGTTCACAAACTGCGTAAACATGCCAGTAGCATCATTGTATCGTCACACTGATGACGCCAGGTGTTCACAAACTGCGTAAACATGCCAGTAGCATCATTGTATCGTCACACTGACGACACCAGGTGTTCACAAACTGCGTAAACATGCCAGTAGCATCATTGTATCGTCACACTGATGACACCTGGCGTACACAAACTGCGTAAACATGCCAGTAGAATCATTGTATCGTCACACTGATGACACCAGGTGTTCACAAACTGCGTAAACATGCCAGTAGCATCATTGTATCGCTACACTGATGACGCCAGGTGTTCACAAACTGCGTAAACATGCCAGTAGCATCATTGTATCGCTACACTGATGACGCCAGGTGTTCACAAACTGCGTAAACATGCCAGTAGCATCATTGTATCGCTACACTGATGACGCCAGGTGTTCACAAACTGCGTAAACATGCCAGTAGCATCATTGTATCGTCACACTGATGACACCAGGTGTTCACAAACTTCGTAAACTCGCAGTAGCATCATCAATATGCGAAGGTTGAGGTCACCATACAGTCGTGCTCAGACATTGCGACCTTCACAACTCAGGTACTACTTCCCTCTAAACAACTGGAATGCTGACGACACGCTGGGAGCGTGGTACGTCGCTTAGCCTGGTATATCAGCAGTTGTATAGTAAGTCTCAGATTAGACAGAACTCTTGTAAGATGCCGGATATGCCGTCGGTGGTAGACATGGTATCCTTATTTGTTTATAGTATCATCTTATATGCGTTGGTAGAAGTATTTTACCTTACGAATTTCGTGATACAAGATGCACTAAAAAGAGGCATTAGTACCCTAAAATGATTCTGTTTTTTTAAACACACCCTTGGCAAATTATTCTAAGACAATGACAAATACGATTTCCAAAATCAATACTGATGATGTTATTGCGTGTAAATGTAAGGTCATTACATATCTCAAAGTAAGTGTTGGAAACAACTGGAGGAGAAATATGGCAGGTTTCTTGGTTGAAACTCGAGCATGAAGAGCACTTTGCTCAATCTTGAAATCTAACGAATTTAAAAAACAACCCATTTCATTCACAACATTATTGATTGTCGCGGTAACATGGCCTTGTCTTACTTTCCCAAAAAGATTGTCACTTGGTCGCATGAAATTGACAACATGCTGTCGATTTACGCCTCGTGTGTCAGTTATAAGCGACGCGAGTGTTGCTACTCAGGATTTTATACAGTGTTATTGAATCCATATGTTTCTCGACGGATTCGTTGGGGCATAGCTGCACAACATTTTATTTTTTTTAAATAACCCATTTGCTGCCTAAATGTGTTTTTAGTGATTAATAGATAAACATATTCTGTTTTAATATTTGAGATAGTCTAACTGCAGAACAGATATTTTGGTGTTAAATGTATCAGAATCGAGCTCTGAGCGTCAAATCATAACGGTACCACGTCATGTATCACACAAGAGGCGAATTTAGTAGCGTTTTACTTTAGGTCAATAGGATACACACTAACCGCTTACTGTTTCCATTTTGACAGATACATTACTTTTCTCCACCTACGAGTACCGTCTTCAGCGCAGATCAGCTGATATCGTTAAGGATTCCCAGAACATAACCTACATGTTATTATTTTAACGGAGGAACGAGTGGCCGAAACCTCAGCAGCAGAGTGTGTACAGAGATACCCCGATCCACTGACCTCGGGATCGAATTCGATACACCGTCCGACTATGCCCCCTGGGGCCTCTTTCGTAGCGCTTTGACTATTTTAAATGTATGTGAGTATATGGGAGGTACGATCATCTAAGCACGAAGATCGCTCTGTTGAACGAGGCCTTGTATGTTAACACTATGTGGGTTAAACGTATGAGGCGTGCTTCACTTTGAAATGGGGCGGTCGGGTAGCCTAGTGGTTAAAGCGTTCGCTCGTCACGCCGAAGACCCGGGTTCGATTCCCGACATGGGTACAATGTGTGAAGCCCATTTTCCGGTGTCCCCCGCCGTGATATTCCTGGAATATTGCTAAAAGCGGCGTAAAACCATACTCACTCACCCACTTTGAGCTTGTGTCCCTGTTATACCGTGTTATGGTTAGCTGTTATACCATGTTATGGTAAGCTGTTTATACCGTGTTATGGTAAGCTGTTTATACCGTGTTATGGTAAGCTGTGTAAACCGTGTTATGGTAAGCTGTGTATACCGTGTTATGGTAAGCTGTGTATACCGTGTTATGGTAAGCTGTTTATACCGTGTTATGGTAAGCTGTTTATACCGTGTTATGGTAAGCTGTTATGCTGTGATTTAACCCATGTGCCATTCACCCAACATAGTCACCAGTTAGTCGAGCGATTATGTTCCACTGAAGCTGAACATAGTATATAACATACCAGTATAAAAACTTGCCCAATCTCTAACTAGTGCCTAGTCAAAGAACAGGCAAAACGCATCTTAAGGGTGAGTGAGTTGGGTTTAACACCACTTTGAACAGTATTCCAGTTACAAGCATGTCAGCTTAATGTGGGAGGAAAGCCCAACGTGATGCAAGTCTCAGACGTTTACCAGTTTGTGAAACCCACGAGCACGGATATAGTGATGACAAACCCAGAAACAAAATCGGGACGAATCGGGATTCGAAGCCACGATCATATTCTGTGGTGTGCCCAAGGGACGCATCTAAGGAAGGTGCTAAGGGAATGATACTAGTTCCTCTATTATAGGTTCAGTCGTGGTTTAATGATGGCGGAACATGGTGTACTTGTTCGGGATCGGTTGAAGCCCAACGGTGATTATTTACTTGGAGCCATGGCATAGAATCCAGATTGTCAGCTTCCTGTGTCAAGAGCGTTACCATGTAATTGTCTAAGTCTCCTTTGCGATATGAAATAATCTTACTGGTGTGATCATTTACCCAGTAAATTGCCTGTGTCATGAAGTAATGCATTCTCTTATCTCGGCATCGTTGTCCTGAGTTCAAGGAGATGTTCCAACAAATTCATGAGAATAATGCAGAAAATTAGAACTGACTTCTGAAATTATCGATCCATTTACTGGTTTCTGTAGGCAATGCGTAAGTCAACGGGGTTTGATAAAGAAGATTCAAGCATGTTCATACAAAATTAATGCATGCTCTTAGTGTTGAATCTGTATGACGGCATACATCGCCTGTATCAAGCACATGTGTTCACCAGGGTAAACCAGTTCCCCTCATTATGGACAGTATAAAGGAATCACGCACTGCAGATAAATGTGAACAAAACCCTTTCCGTATTTAAAAACATGATTTAAAGTTATGTGTTTTGTATTTCAGAGTTATATGAATAAAGCAACAAAACACTTTCCATGTTCATAAGAAACATCCAAAAGCAGAGTCGATTGTACGATACCGACCAAAACATGGATATGTGTTTATAAATCACTATCAAATAGTGATGATACTAAGTGTCCGCGAAAATGGAGAGCGTATCTTGCCCCTCCGGAGGCTCCCGTCATAACACATGCGAAGGCAAGTCAATTGTTTACCGGAAAAAAACACGAGAACGTATGGTACAAGTCAAAATAAGGAATTGCATCATTTTTATTACTGATGCGTCAAATTTGGAAATGTCCCCAACATGTCTCCCGTAAATTGGTTTGATGAAGACAAAGACTAGACGACAACATACCCGACAAGATTACTGTCAATATCCACTGGACCTAATTGAGTATGTTTAAACTAGCATTATATGACAACTTAATTAGAATTGACTTTCACTTTGTGTGAGTTCAT